GGGAACGTTGGAAGCACTGTCTGACGTGTCTGCCTCCGCGACCCGAAAGGAGAAGCGGCGATGGAAGATGGAAGATCCTCCCGCCGTCGACGCTGACATCTAGCCTCAGCGGTCTTCAGCCAAAATCCTTAAGTAGATGTTCTGCATCAAGCATTTTCAGATAGCATTTTCACTGAAAAGGATACCCTCAGTAGTGGCATGCAGGCCCTCGCAATTTTTTATCGGAGCACCTAGAACAAAGTCATCATATGATATTGTGCTGGGTTCGATTCTTTGCCGAGAGAAGGTAGAACCCCGGCGAACGTGTCCAAAAAATTGCTGATAGTGAAACCCTCGAGGTATATCTACCAGCCGCTAATGAGAGAGGGAGCTAACTCGCAAGCATTTGAGGGAAATCTAAGGGGTCCAGTTAAACCGCCATTGATATAGATCAAAAAATACTGGATATCTGATGACAGCACTGTGATGTGGTGAGTGCATGTCGTTCGCCATCAAATCAGCACGCGCCAAATTTCAGAAACAGTGACCGAACTGTAGTCCGCTGAAGAGGTGTTTTTCATCACGGAAACTTCTGACTGCTCGACCCTTTGCAAGTTTGGATGATTAGTCGAAGAGCAAAGTTCAAATGATCTACTTCAAACTTATCACTTTGAGCTTACGAGTCTTCGATCAAGAATTCTGATTAAAAATCTCATTCGAAACACTGATATCAATGTGATTGTCGTTCAATAGGTCAGCTATAACTATCTCGCTAAAGAGCACGGTGGCAGAGTAGCAAAGAGGTCGGTGTTAATCGGTGAGGTGCCGAGTTCGAATCCATCAAAAGGCACAATTTACCGTAATCTCTTATTCTCTCCCTTTAACGAGGAACTTACCTCACGTTGCTTTCTCGTACGATCAGTTGAGAAACGGAAAGCTAGTCTATTCGCATAAGGATATTCCGCTATGGTCACAGCAGGATGGGTGAATATTGTGTGATGAGAGCGCATCATCGGGCTGAAATTCGCCTTCACTCACCTGTCAGCTACTTATTTAATGCAATAATCAGCAGAAGGTGTAACCGTTGCTGATGCGGTAGCAGAATTGATTAAAGTTTTACTTTTTAGAACTGAAGCAAGGGGGCGGTGTAATGGAGCTGCTGACGAAAGCGAGAAATAGATTTTTCTTTCTTTTCATTGTGCACTTTCCCCGTCTCAATCCGAATCATTATTTTTAATGAGAGTTTTGTTTACATGGGTAGTTTTGTGTTTATTATTTTTTATTTAATACTTCATTTTTCTGTCGCATCGCGTTGAAAAGCAAAATTCTTTGGTTGTCTTGTTTAGTCAGTACGCCTTCAGATGTCGATTCTTGAACTCATAAGTTTATGAACAATTTCAGTTGCACCGTCAGAAATTCTAAGCACATGACGCTCTGCTCATACTATTCTTCATCCGCTTAGTATTTACTGTAGCAGTAAAGTAATAATTTTAATCTGATACATGTGAATATATAAAATATGCTATAATATTAACATATCAATGTAGTCAATGAATCTGCATTTTTTCTCTCATGTGAAGACTATGCAAATGAACACGGAATAACTCTTCCAAGGCAAGATTTCACGGCATAGCGGCAAGGTGGCATTTCAAAACCTCCACTGCTAGATGCGTTTGGCGATATTTTATTTCCTCGAACAATCTCGTTCGCATCATGTATGACAGATGCAGAACTGGTGCTCTGCTGTATGCTAATATACTGCATAAACGTTAAAATACTGGTTCATCTGTAGAGCATATTAATTGCTGTATTACCTCTTCAAGACCAGTTTTGACTAAAAGTAGTTGCTTTATAAATTAAGAAAATGATTAAGAATTGAGTCAAACAAGGTTATTAGAGGAATGTAAGGCGTAAGGTAATAGTGAATGTGTAGAACGCCTTCGAGCAGTTCGGGAAACAAATTAAAGAAATTAACAGAGTCTATATTCCAGCATGTGAAGTTAGCTCCATTGATTGTAATACTGGATAAGTGATATAAATTAAGAAAATGATTAAGAATGGAGTCAAACAAGGTTATTAGAGGAATATAAGGCGTAAGGTAATAGTGAATGTGTAGAACGCCTTCGAGCAGTTCGAGAAACAAATTAAAGTCTATATTCCAACAAATTAGAGTCTATATTCCAGCATGCGAAGTTAGCTCTATTGGTTGTAATCCTGAATAAGTGATAAAGACTCCCCTCCAGAGAGTTGCCATTTAAGAGATCTAAGAGGAGTAGCGAACTCTGAACAAGGATGGAAGGAAACAGTTAAATAAGGGTTATAGGGCAAATAAATAATTTCAGGGATAACAGTCTAGAAGGAACATGAAGCGAATAAGCAAAATCCAAAGTGGTATGTTGAGAAAAAGTGATGAAGAGAAAAAACCGAGTCCATGCCCTTAATAAAATAGGAGGACAAAAACTGCTTAATCCTCACGTACTTCATCAACGAATAACGCGCCTAAACATCGTCCTATCATCACCGCATTCTGCTCAACATGTCCAATGGGGACGAACAGCACGAAAACGAATCGAGTTGGTATTGGTACCTGAAATAACACAAATGTAGCGATTAACAAACCAAGGAGTGGCAACAACACCTCGAGCAAATCAGGCATCAGCTGAGCTTGTTCAAGGCGAACGAACTGCGCTACCGGTCGCGTAATGTTGGGAATGTAGCCAATTAGGATACAAGCCCCTTCGACGTCCTTTGGTAACTTGCGCAGAATATTGGACGGCGGGTGCGGAGAGAGGATAGAGGTGAGTACATGCTTTTCCTTCGATTCTAGCTTACTAGAAAAGGAAGGTGTAACTGCATCTTCTTCCTGGGTTTGGGGTTTTTCTTTTTCGTCATTTATTCCTGAAACGATTCACTGAGGCAGCTCTGTCTATGTTCATGTGTTCAGAGGTTTACCGGTGGCGAATCTGCTACCCACCAGGTGCTTCTTCGGCGACTGAAGACATTCTTTGCAAATTTTTGCTTCAGAGCGTTGGATATCGCCCTCTTTCAGTAGGTTTTCGACGATCTGCTCTACAAATAGAAGCTGCAGTTAATTTTAGCATCTGTCTCAATCTGTCGGAAATGCAAACGAAGTTGTGGCTGAAATGTATTGGTACTGAGGGATGAATGGTCGAAGTACACTGTAAAATGTAGTTGTATATCACACAGCATAGGCGCAAGTCC